TAAAACCATCCACTTTGTTGTCTCTTGATTATAGTTATAACTGTTTTATTTTTACTTTACTTAATCTTGTATCTATCAAGATCCAATGATTATTATCACACATTCTCTTAAGCAGGAAGGATCACATATATAACGCAGCGAGTAATTGTTTGCCATCAGACTGAACTTACTGTTCTTGAGGAACGTTGTCAAGACAGCAGGGAACGTTTGACCAGACAGTTCAACCACTAACTTTTCTTCTCATTTTCATTCTTTATAAAATAGTTTAAGACATTATTTAGGGTTCTATCCTCGTGGAAACGATAATCTGGGCATTAATACACCCATTATTACTTGATGCGTGCACTTGCGCACTTGGGTTGGAAGCAAGGGAAGAAATCTGTTTTCTTTTGCTAATTTAGAACAGAGGAACGTCCCTCATCAGAATATATATTTTTCCACCATCAGCAAACCACCCAACAATTGTACATGGATAAAGAAAATCCATTGAGTACCCCAATGATTATGAGATCGCTTGACATAAATAAAATATTTATTTCACCCCTGTGAAAATTAATTTTCTAATCTTGAAATGCCAATGGGGCATAATATATAGCGTGATAAAGGAGATTAATTATATGGCTCAGTTAAGGGGAGATATTATGATGATATTTACTCATATGATAACTAAAATAAATATTCAAAGGGAGAGTTATAAGAATTGCACTCTTTTTCCCTTCACCAATTTTTTATCCCATTGGGTTTTTCTTGTGATTTTTAATGAGGCAATCTATTAGCGTATGATTAAGGATGAACATCCAAGGGAGAGTTATGAAAATATCAAATAAGTGGATGTTCAACTTTCTAACACCACATCTTCTCCCCTTTTTACCCTCAGATTTTTACTTTCTTGTTTGTAAGTCTATTAACAGGATCATACTCTTATCCAACACGAAGATACTATAATAATTATAATGCAGGTCATTTACCTGAGCCACACAAAGGCAGATGCCAAACAAGATTACGATCACAAGTGGAAGCATAATAATTTTACGGCGTTCAACAAATTCGTTCAAGAGATAATTTGGCAGATTTATTTACCAAGGCATTACCTACTTCAAGTTTCGAGAAACTTTTATACCATTGGATTTTCCTGGTAAGGTTTTTAATGAGGCAACCTCTAATACATATTTTTTTTCAATAGGATCATTGGACATCCAAGGAGGAGTGTTATAAATAATATTGATTGTTGGTTGTCCATGATCGCTATGACCGTTGAATGTTCTGTAACCACTGAATAAGTAATTGTGATCATTTATCATATTGTAACCGTCCTGATCTTATGAGCCTACAAATAGAGACATCAAAGGAAATGATAATACAAACAAGAATATATACAACAAGAATATATTCTCTTGTTTCTCTCTTATCTCTATATTTTTCTCCTCATTATCCATATTTATTTTACAACAATAACAGTAAACTAAAAATATTCTAAATAAAAAAAAAAAAACGAAGACAAAAAAATAAATAGAAAAAAATAAAAAGACCATATGTTTAAGGGTGTGCATGATAACCATTTTGTTCCCTGACACTGTTTCTGAAAAGAAATAATTCTTTTTTATTTCTATGTTTTGGAACAGTTTCTGAGAAAAAAATTATGTTTGATAACATGTTCTATTTTTATTCTGAGAATGAGAATTACATTTAAATAATATAATAAAATAATTCCTATTAACCATAAAAAAATTGGAGCATCACTTTCCTTTTCATATGGTGTGGCGGTGGTGGTGGGCTAGTGGTGGTAATGGTGGTGGTGGTGGTAGTGATGGCAATGGCTGTAGCAATGATGGTGGTAATAGTGGTCACGGTGATGGCAGTGACTGCGACGATGGTGGTGGTGGTGGCGTAGTGGTGTTGGTGATGGCATGGTGGTGGTGACGGCAGTGGTTGCGGCGATGGTGGTGGTGGTTGGTGACGGTGGTGGTAGTGGTGATGACGGTGGCATAGTGGCGATGGGGGAGGTGGTGGCGATGACATCGTTGTCGTCGTCGTGGTGGTGGTACAATGACGACGACAATAATGGTGGTGATGGTCGTGTCGGGATGATGGTGGTAGTGGTGATGATGATGAAAATGATGGAGAGTGATTGAGAGAAATAAATGTTTCTCATTTTGTGACCGGGAACAAAAAAACATAATTTCTCGAATTTTTTTTTGTTCCCCAGCACAAAAATAGAATCTGTTCATCCCGGGAACAAAAAATAAACTGATTTTATCAAACAAGTTTTCTATCTATTTCTGTTCCAGGGAATAGAAATTAAAAAAATTGATTCCGGAAAGGTTGTCATATACATCCTAAATAAAAAAGAAGAAAATAAATTGAGAAAAAGGTAGAAAATTAAAATACTGAATTGTTTACCATTTTTTTTTTTAAATATTGAATTTTTTTTTATTTTATTTTTTACCTTATTTTATCTTCCATTTGTTTTAACATTGATAGAAAAGACCAGTGTTGTGAAACCAGGTCGGGGTCGACCCTGAATCTGACAAACCGATCATCAGACCAATTCAAATCAAGCATCGGACTAGTCATGTATCGAACTCAGTCAAACTCAGTCAAAACCTGGTCAAATTCGGATAAAGTCGGCCAAACTCGATCAAAATCAGTGACCCGATTAGGTCATGCATTTTTATAAATAAATAAAAAAACCGAAATCATTTTATCTTGTCAGAAAAAAAAATATAACTCATTTTATTTTTTATAATTTTATTTGCTAGTAGTATATTCTTCTACAATGACCTCAAATTTTAACTTCCAATACTGAAGCAATTTGCGAAATAATAAATTAAGAGAATGTGACATATGTCATTTCAATGCAGATGAATTTGAAAAATATGAGTTCACAACATATGTCCTTTTGAATGCCATTGAGAGATATGCTATGGGGATTTTGAGTTGCAATTTAAATTGACATAGTAATATTGTGCATTTTCATTTATTTGTGCTTTATGAACTTGTAAAAGTGTGATTCAGTAATTTTTGCACTTATTCAGTGAACCTTGTTTAACTCATTTTAGATATAGAGAATATAATTAAATTTATATATTCATATATATAGGGTTTGTTTTTTCTAAAGTTACTCTAGATAACTTTATCTAATGTTCATCGAAACGACGTCGTTTTGGGGCGAAAATCATGGTGTTTTTGTAATTTTAATTTATTTCAAGGTTATAATAGTCTTTATTATTCTAATTTTTTAATTTTTCAACTCCAAAACGATGTCGTTTCGATGAACATTAGACAAAGTTGTCTAAAGTAACATTAGATACTTTTTTCCCATATATATATATATATTTATTTATTTATATATCTGGGTCAATCGATTCAATCAGTGACCTAGTACCTCGACCGGGTTGATGGCCGAGTCGAGTTTAATAACATTGGAAAAGACTAAAACTGAAGGAAAAAAAAAAAGATCAAACATAGGTAAATTTTAAAAAAAAAAAACTAAAAAGACAAAGAAAATAAGAAAAAAATATTGAAAGCTTATAAATTATAACGGTGGTTTTTGTTTTTTGTTTTATTTTTTTTCTATTTCTTTTTTTATCTTCAGTCAATTTTCTTATTTTTGATTTAGACTATTTTAATATAATTTTTAATTTTAGTCTTCTTTTTTGTCAGTTTTATAAATTTTCAATATATTTAATCTTATTTTTTTTTTCTCATTCTATTTTCTTCTTCTTTTATTTATACATGTTTGGTCTAATTTTTTTTCTATATCTTTTTTTTGTCATTAGTCTACTTTTTTTTTTTTTTTTTTTATAACTGTCCCGTTTTTTAGTTGTAGTTATTTCTGTTATTATTGTAAGTCTTTAACATATTTGGACTTATTTTTTATTTTATTTTTTGTCCTTAATCTATTTCTTCTTTTTTTATTTGGATATATTTGATATTTTTTATTTTAATATCTTTTTATAAGTTGTAACATATTTGATTTTATATTTTTTTTAATTCTTTTTGTCCTCGGTTTGCTCTCTTTTTTTTAGAAGGGTAAATTAAGCAGATTAGTTTAGTTTCTCACAGTCAGGTAAAGATGAGTTTGGATGAAAAAATTATATAAGTGCAAGTGATTCAAAGAAAAATCATAAAGGGGTTTTAAATTTTTCCCAAAAAAGTATTGAAGAGTGATTTCTTTTAAAAGGGATGTTTGGTACATGGAAATTTTTTATTTTTCCATGAAAGTGACACCGGCAATCTGATTTATCAAATCAAAATACTATAGTTAAAACAGAATAGCCTAATCATATACAGTTGATAAAATATACGAGCTTGTTTGAATATAAAACACTATTAAATTAACAAAAATAAATGATCGTGAAGATGCTTATGCTCTTTGCATTATATTATAATGATTTATCATCCAATTTATTCCCATGAGTAGTGTACAAGTATAACAAAATATTTTGACGCGAGTCACAAAATAGTGAAGCCAAGAATGACTTTTTTTTTTTTGAATAACAGCCAAGAATGACTTTTAAATTTAAGATGAAATGAGAAAGTGCACAAAGTAAAGAAGGCGAGAACTTTTTGTTTCTTTCGAGTGAAACTAATTATCATAAGATTTTGGTTGCCCTGTTATAATGTGAACAATTCATAAAAAGACAAAGATGGTGTGCAAAATGATATTTTTTTTTTTTTTTTTTACAATTGAGAACTTGAATAATAATTTGTTGTCTCTAGTAATAAAAAAAGAAAAAAATATTTGTCCTTTTAAAGAATATAATTTTGTGTCATTTTAAATCTTAATTGTTGATTTTCACCAATCAATGATTATAATTTATTAAAAATTACTAATTAATAAATAAATTTTACTCAATAAGTTCAATAGCAACTAGGTCTCAATCAACCATCATGCGTTTAATCCTAGCACCAAATGCGGATAAATAATAATATTGCTCATAACATACATTTTATAAACCATTTCTTAAACTATAATAAAGAAAAAAAATACAAATTTAAATTAAAATAAACAAAAGGAACGGGAAAAGAAATTACAAGAGGGGATTGATATCGCTTTTTATTAGTGTACACCAATAAATGATTCTGAGGGGATTGACATCGCTCTTTAACTAATGAACAGGAACACAACTTCTAAAATGATTCTGTGAGAGTGAAAGCTGATAGACACCAACTTTTACTACCATGTAAACTAGATAAAAAGCACAAACCAAATTAAAGCAATGAACATTTTAATTGACTGCATTCGTTTCCCATCAAATTTTACCACCAAGATCTAAGTCAATCTATCCTTTAGCCTCACCAAGTTCAACATCCTTGAGAGGACTCTTTTCTACTCCATCCTTCAATAGTCTAATTTCTTCTTCCGTCAGGCTGTTTTTCACTTGAGAAAATGTCTTTGCATTGGACTGCTTTTCAGCTTCCATAGCCCAACTGTAAATTATCATGCCAACAACTGTGATAATCATTCCCATTATATTCTTGAAAGTTAGCTCTGAATCAAATAGCAGCCATCCCAATGTCAGAACACATACTGTTTTCATGTGGCCTAAAACCTGGAAGGAAACGGTTGAAAAGCGCCCGATGCAAAGGTACTGGCTCACATTGCAAAATACAGCTAGCAAACATGAAAGAAGAATGCATAACTGCAGATATTTAAAAAAATAAAATAAAAGAAATGAATAATCCAACACTACATTATTAAGGATAAATACATAGGGAATACAACAGGCTAAAGTTAATAAGGGAAAAGGAGGACCACTTACAATGGCACCAGAAGACATCTTATAGTTGGTTATCAATTTGCCACTGAGGTAGTAATCAACAAATGGACCAAGAATAAGAAGAAAAAGGGCCTGAATGGGAGCAGTCTTGCTCAGCAATTCAAAAGATCCAATTGAATATTTCTTTTGTAGAGAACCTATTGACTGCAAAAACAATGGTGGCAAAAAGAATCAGTATATAACACGAGTGACTTTAATAGTAGAAAATTCGTTTTTCCACTATCATCATTTAACAATGAAGCTTATATGATCTTAAACTTGGCTATTCACAGGCGAAAAACAAGTTATTATTGGACCTTAAATGGAAAAAAATGATTTCAGTAGTTATTCTAAATCAAATGAAGTTCCATCCAGCACTCACATAAAATTATACCAATTTATAATATATAAATGACATGTGAAAAGAAAATCACAACAGAAATTGCAATAATTTTCATATTACCAGCATACTGGAGAAGAAACATTACGTAACACTTACAATTTGCTGTAAAGATGTTGACAAAACTGCTAAACAGGCACACATGAAACCTTTGAGGTTAGCTTTTACATCAGTTACAGTGCAAACACCAACACCAATAACCACAACCACCACTGACATTTTCACTTCCCTTGAGTAATGCTTGTTGTGAAGGATCCATTCCATCACACAAACCACAGGAATCATGCTTAGCTTTGATATCTGAGAACATACACAATGAGAAAATTAACAACTGAAAAGTAGAAGTGGAAATTCAAAATGAAGACATGAGTAGGTTGGCTATCATTTATAAGTTAGAATACATTGGAAGTGAGTCATGGGAATAGACAGTTGAATCTGAAAACAATGTGACAATTGACAAAGGCAGCTACTCCCGATATGTAAGAATTGAGATATAATAATAGCAACTCCAACATGTTTCTCTATAATGAAAAGTTGAGCAGAATCAAAGATCACAACAAAGATCACAAAGGTTGTAATCCTTGCTAAAGCCCATCTAAGCAACCTGACACCACACAATGATAAAACGCCTTATTAAAAACTTTATATCTTAGGTCACGTGGTATACAGGTTGACAGCCCAGTAGGAAGGTCTTTATGAATAAAGCCTGATAACCAGATACTCTGAGTCACAGGCCAAGAGCGTTGCCCTTCCTGGTCACCCACTCTAAGCCTATAAATATCACACTCCCTCTCATTACAAAGGCACGCTAATTCTCTCACTCCTCTTCCGAGGATTATCCTTACTCTCCATATTGACTTAAGCATTCAAGTAGGACCAGAGAGCTTACTGCCCATCTCTTCCCTGCAGATACTGGACCTGAGCCTGTTCCATCCCAAACACAACAAGTCTACATCTAAAAGAGCAATTAAATGCTTCAACATGGAAATCACTGCATCAGATTATTTAGCTGGGCTTTTAAGAATGTTTTAGTAAACACACATTTTTTAATAATATTTAGTGTTACACTATTCTTAATAAAAGCTCCTTAATTTCACAATACAATAAATTATACATATACAATTCACTCTCACGTGCATCTAACTGAAGCATAGGTTAGGTGCGCATTTTTTTTTATTTTTGAGTTAACCTAACCCTAATTATTTCTTTAAGGCGAGTTGATTCTCCCTGGTATCCCTACAAACTTCGACTCTTTGAGCCGGTTACGGAACTAATCCAGAGTGCGAGACGGGTCAAGGATGAAGATATTTAAACCCCTTCCAAATGTGGCATGTGAGAATAGAACTGAGGCCCTTTCCTTTTCATTTACTCAGCTCCCTAGCTCCCTTGCTACCAACTGAGCTACCACCATTTGGTGGTTAGGTGCGCATTATTACAGCATGTATGATGAAAGGCTTCAAATGATCACCCTGGTTTGTGCTTGACAGAAAGATATGAGATATCTATGATGGATGATGGCCTAAATTGTATACATCCATAACTTATGTTTAATAAGGAAGGAAGATGACAATTTTAAAAAGAACTACCGGATGAAATTCTTAACAAGAAAGAAAGATAAAAAAAATCCAACTTTCCAAGCCATGAAAACCATACTTGGTAGAATCCAACGGAGTTGAGCATGAGGCTGAAATTCATCCCCGTGATAGACATATTAGCAACCACTGAGAACCAAAGAAGCTCCCACATAGGAACATGCTTTGACGCCGAGTAACCGGTAGCATTTGACACTAGACCAACGAGAGCAGTTACAGCAAAGTGGAACCCAGTTAACGTACTGGCTGGAAAATAAAGAAAAGAAAGGATGAGAGAGGAGAAGATGTCAAGAAGTAATAAACTGAAGCCTTCGCATGTAATAATATCAAAAGTTTACACATAATACTTTTAAGGGGAATATTAATCTTATGTTACATGAGAGTATTATCTCATGCTATAGAGAGAGTTTAAATGGGGTCCACCATTAAAAAGTAAAAAAGAAAAAGAAAAAAGAAGGGGTGCGATTTTCGATGTGAGAGAAAATGAGATAACTACCTCATGTAGAATGAGAGTAGTATTTCCCTACTTTTAATAACCAACGTCAATAATTTGTAGCTCAAACAAAATAACAACGGTTATTATAAAGTTTGAACTAAATGTATTTTTAAGTGAAAGTATTCAGACAATAGTATGGATATTTGGATGGTGACTGAAGAACAGGGGAGGTACAGAACCACAAAAATGGCCGCATCACAGAAAGTGGAAATAGAAAGATCCAAGAGAATAGCAATAATGTCGGAGAAGTTAGAGATCTATTACTCTTCAGTCTCAGATCCAAACATGAAAAGTTAATAGTTGAGAAGAGAGAGGCAGACCGAAGCTGAAATCATAGCCATTGTTGGACATGAGCTGTTTGTTGGCCATGATAATTCCGACGGAGCTAACAACGTTCATGGCCCATGCTCCCACATCAGATATCGCTGACGATTTCTTTTCGTTCGTCATCTTCTATTTTAGAGGCCTCCAAAAGCAATTCTGATTAATTTGATTTCTATGTATATAGGAGAAAGAGAAGACTGTTGATTATTGAAGGGGTAACTGCCATCCAGACACTAGATCTGAGGAAAAAAGTAACACTACACAAATATGATAGCCCGTAGCCGCAGAATCAGATTCACAAAGGAAAAGTAGTAGTACTCAAGTTCGCTTTTCCAATTTGAAGAATTAAGCTGGTTTTGATTGTGTATGACTGAGATGAACTAAATTATTTCAGAAGAAAAAAAGGAAAGCCGGGGAGGAACGTTTCTCGCTTCCACTCTGTCTCTCTCCTCCCACAACACTTCCTCGTTGTTTCCCCCACCTCTTGGCTCCTCCTTCACATGACTGTCTCCCTCTGTTGTTGCTAAACCAATGTTTGGTATCTGATTATTTAAGAAAAATAACTGTAAAAAATTGTAGGGTTACTGTGTAATGCAGTTTTTTATTAAAAAAAAAATAGGATATGCTTACAACCAAAAAAGTTTACCACCTTTACAACCAATCTAATCACCGTTGATTTCTGTCAATCTAACGGTTATTATTTATTGGAATTAATAATTAATTAATAAATGCAACCCAATAATTTTTAATAAATGATAATCGTTAGATTAACAGAAATCAATGGTGATTAAGTTGGTTGTAAAGGTTATAATTTTTTTTTTTTTTTGGTAATTATATCCTTTCCAAAAAAAACCACACTGATTTTAGGATGCGATTTTTACATTTTAGAGTTATTGTAAAATGCTTCTACCAAAGAATGAAATTGTAGAATATTAACCATTGTGATTGTAAAATAGCTTTTTAAATTTTTATCGACCTACTCTTAATTTATCTATCTTTATCTATCCTTTTTAATATTATTAGCGATGTGTTGAATTGAGATTTCAAAAAATTTTAATGTATTATTTTTAGATAAAAAAATTCATTAGTATTCAATTAGAATTTTAAAGAATTGAAAAAAAGTCATGTGGTATTCGATTAAGATTTTAAAAGATTATTTTAGTGTCCATCCAAATTCGTTGGTATTTAATCAGAATTTAAAAAAAAAAAAGGAAAAATAATCATAATCTTGTCGTATTCAAAAAATCTAACGACTTTCATGGATTTTCTGTTGGTGTGGATTCCATGAGATTTTGTAGTGAAAAAATATAATTAAAATGTCTCTTTCACAATCTCACCCTAACCGCTAGGATTTTTTGAGATTTTTCTACTACAGTGTTTTCTTCTTCCTTTGACGGGTTGACCTGCTCGAAATCGGATACCGCCATGGGAGCTTCGTCAAAGCTCAAAAAGAGCAGATTTTGAGCGAGTTTCATCACAAAATAACACAAAAACAACAAATCAACAAGATTCTAATATAATCAATCTCAAAAGAGCAGATTTCGAGTGATTTTTTAGAGCTTTTGGATAATTAAAAAATAATTTTTCAAGCTATGGGTCGCGATTTTTCTTGGAACAAAAATATATGATTTTTGTATTAAAAACAGGGAGAGTTATACTTACTACCTATTTTTCTTACTACCTGTTACTACCAAATCTTAACCGTTGATTTCCGTCAGTCTAACAGTTGTAATTTAAAGAAAAATAGGTAGTAACAGGTAGTAAAAAAAATAGGTAGTAAATAAAACATTTCCCTTAAAAATAACATAAAACAGTGAGAAAACAATATAGGAACTAAAACCCTCAAAATATCAATTTAAAGAAAGACCGAAACTTTCATAATATGAACTCTATATTTCATAATAATACATTCATGAACTAAATTTCTTCGTTATAGGAAATAATTTCAAACAATTTTTGTAAAAATATATATCTAAAAACCTAATTTTTAAAAGCTCCAAAGCAATTTAAGGTTTCAATGTATCGATTAAATAATTTGAGAAATTTTTTAAACTTTCATGTAATAAAATCCAGAAATTCAGATTTAAGATTTTCTTAGAATAGTCAATGAAAACATGCATATGATATATGGTTAGAAAACTCTCAACGTAGAGCAAAATTCCCTAGGTTTCCAAGATCAATTGGAAAAAATTTTAAACGAAATTTTATCATGAATTTTAGGTTCTATATGCAAATTTAGTATTATTTTAATAAATAAAAAGTAGGTCTTATAATCCTATATGCATAGCTCTGATACCAAATAAAGAACATAATTTTCAACCCATTGGTCAAACCAAAGAGCATGAACGAGAAAGTGCTAATGTGTGAAGACTAGTATAACTTTAGATATAAGGAGAGCTGTTACTTAGTAATTTTGAATGTTTGTTAAAAATTATATTATGTTTTACTGATTGAGAAAATTATATTAGGTTTTACTTTTTTTTATTAATATCATTGCATTTTTTTAATTTTTTTTTCAGTAAACTTTTTGTTATTTTTTTTATTGTCTCTTGTAATTTTGAATGTTGCTTAAAAATTTATATGATTTTTTAAAATCTTATAAATAGATATTGTCCTTTCAAATCATATAAATTCTATTAAAATACTTTAAAATCCAATCTTATGAAATCTTGATTGTAAAAAAAGTCTTTTAAAAAAGTCTCCCTCTAATTCTAAATAGTCTTTTAAAATCTATAAAAAAATTTATTTTAAAAAATCTTTTAAAATACTAATCCAATACACTCCTTAGATTATAATTTTATCCAACAGTTGAGATTTACAGGATAAAATAAATCCTTTTACCCATTTCTTTCTTCTTACTTCCTCTTGCCCTTTCTCTATCCTCCCCTTTTTTCTCTATTGATGAAAGAATATATATGTGTCAATACTTAATGCAATACCACTAAAAAATCACACCGAGGAAGAAAAGATATAGCATTGAAATTTCGAAATAGTCATCATCTGCCGCCAATTTGAATTTACACCGAATCACATTCTTTCTAGAGAAAAACTGATAATGAAATAAAATATACGCAATTTATTGAATATATATATATATATATATATATATATATATATATATATATATATATATATATATATATATAACATGAATTTATCACCACAAACTCATTCATTGATTGTTACAAACAACTACTTTAATTTAGGGCCCGTTTGGAGGTCCGTTTAGATTGTTTTTTTCTTCAAAAGCTGTTTTTTTAAGAAAAAAAAACTTTTCGTTTTTAGTTCGTTTGGATGTCTGCTTTTAAAAAAAGCAGAAGTAAAAAAAAAGTCAAAAATCTACTTTTTTCAGAAGCTACAAATTTTAACTTCTAAGAAAAGCAGAAGTCAAAAGTCAAATATTTTTTTCAAAAACTAAATATTTTTATAAAAATATAAATAGCTTTAACTTTTATAAAAAAGACTTCTAAAATAAGGAAAAAATAAAAATTACTTTTTTGATAAGCCCAAACAAACGGGCTCTTAACCTCCAATAGTTATTCAATTAGTCGGAGATAAAGTAGTAATTAATACTTCTTGTTGGGTCAGTATAAATGGCAAAACTCTGCTTTGTTTAATTAAGATAATCGCAAAAGAATCCACCAATCGTAAATTATTATCTATTGAACAAAAAACCAATTCAAATTCACATGGAGTTTTGATCCTATGTGCTTCTCTGTCTTCATTGATAGAGAGAAACAAGAGGAGAGAGAAGGAGTGGGGGTAAAAGGGTTTTATTTATTATGCAAATCTTCATCGTTGGATGAGATTATAATCTAAAAGTGTTGGGAGTGATAGACAAAGATAAAATAAGAGTAGATAGAATAACTTATCCCATAATTAAATTATATAATATTATCATGATGATTATTTATAACTAATTGAATATTTATATTTACTTGTATTTATGTGTTAAAATAGATTGATTAAATAAAATATTAATTATTTAAATTTTAAGGATTTCAATTTATTTCACAATGATGAAACTATATTGACAGAACTTAATATTTATAAAACATTATTTAATTGTGTAATAATACCAATATTAAATATATGTTAATTTTTTTATTTTTATTTTTATTGGGTACACATGAAGGGCATCAAGCCCAAGACAAAACAAAGAAAAGAAACCAACTAAAAAAATAGAGGAGAGATATTCTTATTACCAAAATTTTTCACTACCAACTTACTACCTATATAATCACCATTGGATTAACATTTTCTCTCTCTTCAAAAACTTTTTAATATTCTCTCTCTTTGATCCAGTAATAATTAAATTGGTAGTAGAAAATTTTAGTAATAAGAATATTCTCCCTAAAAAAATACTCGGCAAGTTATGAGAAACTTGCAACTTCCCAACTCCCAAGATCCCAACTTTATGATCTGCACAATTGTTAACTTCACGGAGAGTGTGCTTGAGACGAACTTGCCATTGTTTGTTCATGAACTCTCGGATTCATCTAATAAGGTGGGAGTGACCAACCTCATTGGATTGGCAGGTCACACAAAAAAGTGTTTCAAGGGAATAATTTTTTTATATTACAATGGGAATCAAACACTACACACACTATACTATACACACCTAACACATACACCACACCACTAAGGTAAACTAAGTGGCTCCAAGCATATTTTAATCCTTGTATACAATGACAAAGTTCAGCTTCCAAGGTCGTGTACTTGCCAAAAAACGAAAAGCCTCCAACCCACTCTCCCCTCAAGTTTTGAATAAAGCCACCACAAGAACCAGTTAGATGGTAAAAAAATTTTAAATATTGTAATTTAAATATTATAATTTAAATAAAAATATAAAAATGTAATGATTTGAAGTCAATTTAGAAATATATAGCAATCCGTTGCTCCCATTTTAGGTGCGATAGGAAGGCAATCATATCTCCTTTTATGCGCAAACTGTTCATAGAAAGAGGAACAACTGGCCCCATGTCGCACCTAAAGTGGGGGCGCAACTCACCATGTATTACGCCTAATGTCATACGCAACTCACATGATGATGCCACTTGTGCCTATTGCACCTGTTTTGATCCATGTTTTCAGCTTTCTTCATGCATTTTATACATTTTAGGTAGAGCCGGCAAAACGGGCTCGGCTCGGCAGGCCAACTCGCCCAACCCGCCAAACGGGGCGGGGCGGGCTCATTTTTTAGCGGGTTGATGGCAGACATAGGCGGGCCGAGGCGGGTCAGTGTAAAATAGGCTCGGGCTGGCCGGCCAACCCGCCTAACCCGCCAAACGGGACGGGGCGGGGCGGGCCGCCCACTTTGCCACCTCTAATTTTAGGATACAAGTACTTACTTTCTGATAAGTTCAATAATTTTTACATAATCTCTCTTGTCCATTGAGATAACAAGTCATGATTATTTGTTACTGTTGGATATTGAGAAATAAGAATAGAAATTAAATAATATCATTCACAGAGATAAAATATGCCAAACGAGCATAAGGA